TCCTCATGCTCACCTATCGCTCAGGTAAGTGGCCGTTATTTGGAACCTGTGCGCGCGACAGAACGGAGGCGATGAGCTGCCGCCGCAGCGCATAGCACTATCTACCTGTAATTACTTTACCTGTATGTATGCACGCACGCACGCGCAGCTCAGCGCGGCTCAACACCTGGTGGAAAGCCCTCGATGTGCACTGATTAGAGAGAGAGGGGGTGAGAGAGAGCAGATAGATAGAGAGAGAGAGAGAGAGAGAGAGAGAGTGAGAGAGAGAGAGAGAGGGAGAGAAGGAGAGAGGGAGAGAGAGAGAGAAAGAAAGATATGAGAAAGAAGCAGGGAGAGAGAAAGAGAGAAAGAGAGAGATAGAAAGAAAGCAAGATAGAGAAATAGAAAGAAAGAAAGAGAGAGAGAGAGAGAGAAAGAGAGAGACAAACAGAAGATACATAAAGAAAAAAGGAAAGAAAGCGAGAGAGGAAGAAAACAAGACAACTACGGCTCCGTAGCTATCTATTATCATCGACTGTAGGATCGTATCGCGAGCGATCGCGTGCCAGCAGCCGAGAACAGCGGAGAAGGACCGATACATTAATTTACATCTGTATAAGCGTAGAGGTTCGACGGAATACGACCAACGACGACATCGTGCATCGGTGTTACATTGCTAGTGGTGGTGCTCTTACCAATACATATACTTATACCGACAGAGAGACAGAAGAAGAAGAGAGAGCGAGAGAGAGAGGAGACGAGAGAGAGAGAGAGAGAGAGAGAGAGAGAGAGAGAGAGGGAGAAAGACAGAGGGATAAAGAGAGAGAGAGGGAGCGATGGAAGAGAATTACGACGCTAATGAGTGTGTGCCCTGCATTACGTGACTGAGGAATGGATGTTTGCATTATCCCGTGCCACGTTAATTATAATAAACGCTGAAACCACACCCATTGGCAGCCTTGGTATTCATTAAAGTTACGCTAGCTAGCGCTCTCTATCATTAATAAATAAGTGTCGGGATTTATTTTCCATGTCCGGCTACTGCGACGAGTATCCAATCTCCATCTTAAACGCATAATTTTACTGAAATCTTGCTTCATTTTTGAGGTAGGGCCTACATGGCATGCGGAACACAGGTCTCCCGCGTTCTTACAGACAAATTTGGTACGAATTGGCAATTTGTAATTAATAAAGTAATTAGTAGGCATGTGCTCTTTGCACATTAGTAGGCATTATTGCGGTAAAATTCTATTTAATTGATTTAATAAACGTTGGTAATCTATCTGCATATGTTACGTCGGACACCTATCGCCACCTGCCGACAGGCTTGTATATCATTGATGTTAATATAACCGGGGTTTCCTATTATTAATATTATTAATAAAGAGACACATGTTATCTATCTTTCATTCTTGTATCTGGTCGATACATGGAGCTGTCACACAAGTCGTTTCATCCATCACATACGTCATGTATAGATGGAGTGCAAAAATAAAGACATACGTGCTGCAATATGTTAACATGTTCTGCTAGCATCTATGACAAATACGACATACGCATATACGTTCTCCTATGACACTATTTGTCATAGGAAGATTCTTCCTATGACAAATATTGGCGAGTCAACTTCGTTCCGCTTTACAGCTGAAATTCACTGCTTGCGTTTATAATAGCGCTCCTAAACTCCTATGATGCGCCCAACACATACAATAATATTTCTCAAAGGAAGAATCTTCCTATGACAAATAGTGTCATAGGAGAGCGTATATGCGTATGTCGTATTTGTCATAGGAAGATTCTTCCTATGACAAATAGTGTCATAGGAGAGCGTATATGCGTATGTCGTATTTGTCATAGATGCTAGCAGAACAGGCTGAATATATCATGCATGCGTTTAGCAATGCACGTCACATTCAAACGATTTTTGATCGGCTGACAGAAGAAGTGCAAGACTATTAATTTAATATTTAGCGTGAATCGACGGACGAAGGTATCACGGAGGATCGCTTTAAAGCTGCAGAATGTGTGGGTGCGACTGCGTATCGCGGGGAGCTTGCGTATGGGCGCTCTGACGTAAATCCAGACCTATGAACGTCATCTGTTACTCTCGCCATTGTCATCGCGAGTATCACTGCGATCAGGAGCGAAAGAAAAAACAACATTTATTTTTATTCACTCCTGCTACGACTGAAAACTCCGCCGTTGCCACCACCACCGCCGCCGCCGCCGCCACCACCGTCGCCGCCACCACCGTCGCCGCAACCACCGCCGCCACCACCGCCACCGCCGTCGCCACCGTCGCCGCCACCACCGCCACCACCGCCGCCATCGCCGAAATCGTCAACACGAAGTTGAACGCAGCGACGTGTGTGCGGCACAAGGTCTATAACACGGATAAAATAACACGTTACAGGAGAGCTATAGCAATCATGCTCTCGCCCGTGACACAGTTCTGTCGCCACACGGCGGCTCGTGATGCGCTATCCAATCACAGGCGGCTATCTGGTTGTTACGCAAACATGACCGATGATGGTGAAACAACAGAGAGAGAGAGTTGCGGCGATTGTTTGTTCGTAGTAACCATGGCAACGGCGCGGAGTAGGCGGTCTCCACGTGAGTTCCCCGGTGATACCTCGCACGGATAGTTCACGAGCTGCCGCTAGGTGTCGGTAGCTGCGCCGCAGGTCGGAGTTGTCACTGTGGCAACATTTTGTTGTGGCAACAGTGTCGCGGTTGCCATGGTTCTGCGACCCGTGTGGAAGCAACTTTCGAATTTTCTGGAATTTCGAAACTACTTTAAAATTTGGAAGTCTGTGAGGAATTACTAAGTAATAAAACTTCAAAAAACAAAAACCTCAATTGTTTTAGTATGTGTTTGATTATTAGTATTTATTGTTTCGAAAGCAAAACATGATGAAAAGAACATTCTAAAAAAATTTGCACAAGGGAGAGATAGTGATCCTCTAGGGGACGGCTCTGATTGGCTAATTTTTTCTCTTATTTATTTTTATTATTTTTGGCTAATTTTGTTTTATTTTAGAATTAGGGTTAGGGTTGGGGTTAACTGATTTCTATATCCACAAAACACTAATAATGCGCCATCTGGCGGATCACTCTCTCTTCCCTGAGACCTACGTAATGCTGAACGGTTGTTGAATGAATTAATAGTATAATTCGTCATGTTGTGCAGCTTTTAGATACCCAAGCTCGTTTGGATCATGCGAAATGCTGCAGCACACAATTCCACGTCATCTTAACCGCAAGCAGAAACAACGAAGTAGAAATGAAAAGAATCCCGTCTTAATGGGAGGATGAAAAGCTGAAGCAAAGGACATAAAAGAGCAGCAAGCATGCAGGGATGGCTGAAAACCTCTGTCGCACGACACGCACGCGCTAATCGCCAGCAGAAGGCTACTGACGACAAAAAAAACAGCGTTCGCACAAATAAGAAAAATGATCCTAAACCCAACGCAATGCGTGCGTGCGCGTCAGTTCGTATGTGCGCGTGCGTGTGTATGTGCGTGCGCGTATAGATGTTGCTAAAAGTGAACGAAATAGAACTAACTATAGGTATGTTATATTAGACATCGCATAGTGAACCGGGGACAAGCCACGACTTCAAAATAAACGCGCGTGTCACACCGCAGTAGTGGAATATTAGAATAAAAGATTAATACTATTAATAATAATAACAACAATAACAATGATGATGATGATGATAATAATGATCATAATAATAATAATAATAATATTAATAATAATTATGTCATGCTCTGTGTACGAGAGGAGAGGGCGTGCCGTGTGTGTGCGCGTTTTCCCTGCCTCTCTTCTCTATCGTGTGTTTCATACACAGTGTTATCACTTGTTGTGGCTATGTAATGTGGCATCCCTCTCCACCAACGATCTAATTCGGTAATAGTTAGCGATCGTTCCAGGAGGTGGCGCCACCGGTGCGAACACGCGCATGCGCGTGTGTAACTACGAGAGTAGCATTTTAGGGGATGCGAACTAGGCCTATTTTGCGTGTGCTTATATATTACCGATATTGTTTGTGGGCGTGAGGTCGCGATAATGCTCACTTGTTTCTCTGCTTATTTCGGGACTTTACTTATCTGATCAGTGCGTACAGACGCCACCTGGTGTTAATTATGGTGTGTGTAGACACCGCCTGGTGGCAAGATGTGCGTACAGACGCCACCTGGTGTTAATTATGGTCTGTGTAGACACCACCTGGTGGCAAGATGTGCGTAAGGACGCCACCTGGTGGTAATTACGGTGTGTGAAGCCGCCATCTGGTGGCAAGATGTGCTTACAGACGCCACCTAGTGAATTTTTGTGCTAATACTGATGCATATAACACTTCGTTATGACCTGTATGTGTCGCTAGTCCCATAGCAGTCTAGGCGTCCGTTGTTAGAGGCATTATGGGATGGTTTCTGAAGCAACATTATGAATGTCATTAGACTAAAATGTCAACACAAAAGTGTCGTTTTTCAACTACTGTTTAGACTCAGTTGTGTGCGATATTTCTAACGACGCCCACGCACATTAAGATGGTCCGTGCCTTTCCAGTAAGGAATGGAAGAAACCAAAGCACCGCTTGCGTCTCTGTACTGTCCATTGAAAGCACGTTTCGGTGTATGTTTTGGAATTCGTTCTTCTTTCGTGTCTAGGATTGGTGTCTATATATGAGGTCTATTCTGTTCTGAGTCTGTCTGTCTGCCTTATTCCGTCTGTGTGTGTTCATGCGCAGTTGTGCGTGTGTATGCGTGTGTGCTTGCGTGCGTGCGCGCATGTGTGTGTGTGCGCGCGTGTTAGTGTTTGGTGTGTGTGCGCGCGTGCGTGCGTGTGAGTTTGGTGTGTATGCGTAATGTGGTGCATGTGTGGTGTGGTGTATGTGTGTGTGTGTGTGTGTGTGTGTGTGTGTGTGTGTGTGTTCATAAGTGGCTAAAGAACCCGCAAGTTAGCGTCTGAACAACAAGGGACTGTTGCCCAAACACGAAGCCAGTTTAATAATATACCTTATCCTTATCCGCGCTTTCTGTTTTTAATTTACGAACAAACTCTCCTTGAACTTTTACTGCATGCTGGATTTCTGCCCTATCAATGCGTTCTGCCATCTTGCAAGTTGCAACACACATAATTATTTTGAGGTCCGCATGTGTATTTCGTAATGCAATATCGTAAAATCACTATTCAGCTAGTCAAAAGAAACCAAAGAGATGCTATAAAAATGTCAAAGTATCGTGCTAATGATATGTAGTAGCAAATTATAGGGTGATTTAATTTAGCGTTGCACATGTAGTAATGTAATAAATTTCTAGTTCCGATTATCCCTTTCAGGCCAGCATTACGGCAAGTATGCACCTGACACATACCGCCATCTAGTGGCTAACTTGAATTATATTTGCGTTGCACAAGCCAGAAATTTGGGCACCCTGGTATTAATAAAAGGAGGTATCGATCAGCCTCCTTTTTCTTCTACCGCTCCCAGCTATCTTCCCTGCCGCCTTTCCTCAGTCTCCCATCCCCTCTCTCCCGCAGCAAGCTATATTATGACGTTTTCCTCAGACGGCACTGCACGCCTAACACGGTGCGCGCGCATGCGCAATATCTCCCGTGAGAAATCTATTTTGCAAAGATTATGCATTTAAAATGAAGAGGAGTTACTCTAGCATAGATTTATATGATAACATTCTATCAGTAGACATCATTTAAGAAATAGGAGGAATACAGCTTCGTGCTAGTAGCATCACACCGCCCTTCTCTCCTTACGAGGAAGCCCTGTAACGCAAGCGATGTCAGAGCCCACCAACAGCAGCAGCAGCATCAGCAGCAATATCATCATCATCAGCAGCATCACCATCATCATATTCGTCGTCATCATCATCATCATCGTCAATATTGTCATCATCATAATGATCATCATAATCATCATCGTCATCGTCCTCATCATCATCCCCATCTACATCATCATCGTCCCTATCGTCAGCATCCTCTTCCTCGCCCTCTCACCTTTACCATTAGGCCACCGTGTGCCCACCGTGTGCGCTGGCTTGCCGTAATGCTGCTTATTGGATATTGTGGTGCCTATCTAAATGAGTCGCATTCAAACGCCGTCGTGTACAGTTGTTGTGCACGCGCAGGTGTGCGATTGTGTGTGTGTGTGTAAGTTGCTTGTGTGTGTGTGTGTGTGTGCGCGTGTGCGTGTGCGCGTGCGCGTGCGCGTGCGTGTGCGCGTGTGTGTGTGTGTGTGTGCGTGCGTGTATGTTTGTTCGTGCGTGCGTGAATGATGATGAGGAAGAGGATGACGTTGATAGAGGCGAAAGATGGGAAGGGGGGCATTGGAGGAGGATGGGGGAGGAGGAGGAGGAGGGGAGGTAGGATTTATTGGAGGGAAAGAGGGGGAGAAGTAGGCGAAGGAGGGGGAGGAAGGGGCATTGGAGGAGGGTGGGGATGAGGAGGAGGAGGATGGGGAGGTGAAGGAGGAGGAGGAGGAGGAGGAAGAGGAAAACGTGAGAATGTAATCATGTCTACCATACATCATCGTTGCACTCGCAAGGGGGCGCTGCGGCCAAATACCTCTGCCGACAGAGGGCGCCACGCATCTCTTCCGGACTGTGTTTCCATCCTCACCGCGTGAGGGCGCTGTTAACTCTGCCATGAGATATATTTAGGTTTCAATTGGGGAAACGCAGTGCGGTGAGAGACGTTCTAGTGTAATTTTACGCGCTCTGGCGGCTGCTGATGGCGCCCCTGTGCGCATGCGCTGTAAACGGTCAATGTGAAAGTGATCGGTGCAGTGTGCGTGCGTGCGTGCGTGCGTGTGTGTGCGTATGAGCAAGTATGTGTGTGTGTGTGTGTGTGTGTGTGTGTGTGTGTGTGTGTGTGTGTGTGTGTGTGTGTGCAAGTAACAACAACAACAACAAACAACAGACCAAACAGCATCATCGTCATCATCAACAACAACAACATCATCGTCATCATCAACATCAATAAACAACAACATCATCGTCATCATTAACAACAACATTAACCCCGTTATCATCATCAACAACAACAACATTATCAACAACAACAATCAACAACAACAAACAACAACAACAAACACTTGTTAAAAGCGCGAATATAATTGTAGAATTATATCCGTAATGTAATGTAACTTCCTTCAACTGTGAGAAATTACTCTATTTCAAATATAACTCTATCTGTCTCAAATTTACAGGCAAAATCCGCATATTAGATTAGTAAAGAACACATATCGACCTTTTTCCTTCTTAGACTTTTATAAGTTATTAAGATCCAATATATAAAATATACAATTTTACAAAATGCAATATACAAAAAGCAATATACAATATAGATTTACAATATACGATATATTATTTATTTATTAAATGCTTTATTGCATATAATTCAAATACAAGTACATGTGCTAAATACATCATGGGAGAAAAAAATTCTGATGACAGCCGCCGCCTCTTAGATTTTGGAGCAAAGTTAAAAAAAATTAAGCTTAGCTTAATAATCGTAAAATAACCCTAACGCGTGATTTTTTGGCGGTCACTTATTCCGTGAAAGCTCGTTGTCTTAGA